GGGATGGAGGGAGGGGGTATTACTCACCGGATGGATTGATTGATTGATTGATTGCCTGGGGCTAATCCACAGCTGCAACCAATCAAGGACCTTATCTCCAATCTCTGAACTAATGGAGGATTTACAAGTGCCTGCTGCAACCAGGAAGTAACAGTGAGAGGTGGCTTACAATTTGAGTTTTGGCTGCAGAGGGTGGGGGTGGGATGGAGGGAGGGGGTATTACTCTGCTCATTACCCCCAGGAGTTTCACTTTTACCCCATTTGGGATAATTTACCCCTGTTCCCCGACCTATGCCCTAACTGATCTTTAACTATCTTCCATTTTTCTTATATTTCCTTGGTTCCACCCCTTATGTTCAACCATTGGTTGTCAAATCAGGGTTCCATTGTGATGGACAGGAGTGGTTACTGACCTGTCCGTCACACATAACATACCAGTATAAGCCTTGTTTTTTTCCCTTGCCACACAAAATAACAATAATACTGGTCTATTTTATACATTGTTGCAGAGAGGATTGAGAATAAACATGGTTCACTCTGCTTACCTAAGACTTGCACATTCATTGTCCTAAAACCAACATCCCAGTAGTATCAAACTACTACTTTACATGAAATAAAATTTCATGAAATTTTATCCCACTGCAACTTGCCATGTTATTCAGACAAAAGCTCTCTGAAGGGGTCCCAAGTCTCTTGTGCAAGTTTTTTAGGGATCTGGAAGGATAAAATTCTCCTCTCTTTGTTCTGTCAACGGAACTGGTTTCATCACCAGAGACACCCTATTGCATCCTGGCCTGCAAAAATACACCTTTATAAAAAATTGTCATTACTGTTGGTATTTGCCCTATGTTTGCTTATCTGTTTTATTTATAACCCTAATCCCCTTCCTTGTTCATTTCCATTTGGTACATCCCCAAAGAAAAGCGACTCTTGATTTACATTCTAAGAGCTGTCCATGGTCCTCAAGTATTATTAAAGCTTTCAAAATGATATCTAAATAAAAGTACTGTAAAACACAAAAAGCAGCAATACATGAAGAAAGGTCTCCTGCCCCTAATAAGTTAGCAATTGTAGTTTCAATACTTCCTGCTAATTTTTTAAAAAGCTGATGAAAGCTTTGTCCTGATAAATGCCATTACTCAGCCTATACTGTCACTTTGCTTTGTAGCAAAATCACAGAAGTGTTATATCTTCCTAACCATGATAAATACACCATAAAGAGTCTTACTATGTGAATTTTCCTATAATGTCAAAAACAGTATGCTTAATAGAATTTTGAAAAGGAACAATATTTGCATAATGGAGCTTTGGCAGTTAGAAATTATTCTGCATTTTAATGCCAACCGTTCTTCAAGTATTATTGCTTATGTATGCAAAACAACAGTCATGCATAAATGAGAAGCAGAGGTAGACTCAGGATAACCCCAAGGTTTGAAAAAGTACAAAATATTTTTTGAAAAGTACACTCCACACAGCAGTATGTGTTTTTTTTTTTGGCCGACCTTCATTTTTATATGCTAATAGTGATTTCATTTTTATGAGCACCACAACCAAACCAGTACCATCTGTGCTATAGAGAAAAAAATCAGGAGGATAAACAGAACCCAAAAGTTTGGAAGAGCACAAATTAATCTGTACTGGGGGGGGGGGACTAAGGGGAAGATCTCCCTCCTGCAAACCAGCTATGAAATGCAGATAGATTTTTGGAAATGGGCAATGGAACATCAAGAATGATGTCACAGCTGGCACACTGAACAGGAATACTCCATACAGAAAAAGTTAGCTGCCGGCTCATTTGTCATTAAAGACAGTATATAGGAATTTTGTATAGTCAGAATTTGAGGTTATGTACAATCATGACAAATCCTTTAACTAACTCCCAGTTTAAGGATAGCACAGGTATCGATCTGCTTGGTAAGAGCTAGAACACTGGACATTTCATGTAATAAGCTTGATTTTTCTTTTCCTGAGCCATACTGCATGCATGAGAAAATCAATTACACTGCAGATAACTAACTCTTCAAAACTCTTGTTTTACACACTTCTTTTATTCTTATAAGGCTCGTAAAATTAAAATCTGTATAAAATGAAAATGTCACCATTTGATGATCTCCTGCTTATACAACTATAAATTTAAAATGAGATGTTATTTGATCTGTATTCTTCAGTGATAAAAAGTGAATTAATAAAATCTACAAGTAATTATTTACCTAAGTGACTGATGGTCGTTTTACTATCTCAGTGTGCCTATAAATCTCTAAATAATCTAAAACCTAATATAGCAGGGAAAGTCACAGCACTTTCTAAGATTAATCATCCATCAAGACATGCATTTTGTATTAATTCTGAAACCAGTTTGAACTCAGCTGCAACTTTCTGTAAACAAGAAGCTGGCAGACACAAGTGACAAAGGACAACAGCCCAAAGAACAATAAAAATTGAAGTGACAATGAATCTATAGTTCACAGCTGGATTATTATCAATTAGCAGTTAACTAAAATATCTGCTGCATGTACATGATTTTCCTTTATACTATCAGCGTCAGAGCTGGCTGTGCCTGTAGATAAGATATAAAGCTAAGGATCCTGCACCCCCAACTCAACAATGGGAGTGACAGGATCACACTGGGTAGTTGAGTGTTCAGCATTAGTGCAAAGGTTTTATGTATATACAGATACAATGCATGCCTGCTCTTTCATACGACATAAGCACAAGCAAGACTGCCATTTATACACACACAGTCTGACAAACTGATGTTGCTTATGAGCCAGTGTATAAAAGAACGAGGCTAGTGGCCACAATTCCTTTGCCCCATTCAGGTATAAGCAAGGGGAGGGTAATATGATCCCCTCAATCTCTATTTTAAAAGATCTGGAACAATAAGACTAGGAGACAATACTCTAGGCTAGATTTTGGTCTTCAGCTAATGGAAATAGTTTCTTCTGCTGAGCAAAGTTAAGTTGGAATAGAGTTCCCACTATTAGAGCTACCACTAATAGAGTACTGTAAAATATAAAGAAATAGCTTCCCAAATGCATGTTTGAGATAAAAGTGTCCCAGGTGTGATGGCAGAAAGTGAGGAGGAATTAAAGAACCTCTTAATGAGGGTGAAAGAGGAGAGCACAAAAATGGTCTGAAGCTCAACATCAAAAAAACTAAGATCATGGCCACTGGTCCCATCACCTCCTGGGAAATTGAAGGGGAAGATATGGAGGCAGTGACAGATTTTACTTTTTTGGGCTCCATGATCACTGCAGATGGAGACAGCAGCCACAAAATTAAAAGACACCTGCTTCTTGGGAGGAAAGCGATGGCAACCCTTGAAAGCAGAGACATCACCTTGCCAACAAAAGTCCGAATAGTCAAAGCTATGGTTTTTCCTGTCGTGATGGATGGAAGTGAGAGCTGGACCATAAAGAAGGCTGACCACCGAAGAATTGATGCTTTTGAATTGTGGTGCTGGAGGAGACTCTTGAGAGTCCCCTGGACTGCAAGGAGAACAAACCTATCCATTATGAAGGAAATCTACCATGATTGCTCACTGGAAGTTCAGATCCTGAAGCTGAGGCTCCAATACTTTGGCCATCTCATGAGAAGAGAAGATGTTGGGAAAATATGAAGGGAAGAGGACAAGGGGACAACAGAGGATGAGATGGCTGGACAGTGTCATCGAAAGTACCAACATGAATTTGACATAACTGCAGGAGGCAGTGGAAGACAGCAGGGCCTGGCGTGCTCTGATCCATGGGGTCATGAAGAGTCGGACATGACTTAACAACTAAACAACAACAACAATTACCAGAATGAGAACAAAATTTGGAATGGAGAAACTCTTCTCGAGAGAACTAAAACCAGGGCTCAGGATGTAATTAAAGCCTAAAGACATTGATTTGTGAACATGAGCTACTCTGCTAGATTTACATCATTTGAAGTCTTAGAATAAATATTTTTACACATAGTTGGTGACAAGTGAGTGGAGAAAACTGACAACTATTGCAACATTTCTCAAAAAATTCTGCCAATTCACAAAACAAGTTTTTATAATTATTATTCCAGTGGAACAGCAACAATAATGATTATAATGATAGTCATCTTAGAACTATAGAGATGAAGGGGTCAGAATATATCTTTATATCTTAATAGGGAAAGAATCTGACACAAAATAAGGAATCTTTCACAGAAAAACAATGAACGCTTGGCAAGGCTTAACTCCAGTTCAACACCCCATGAGACTCTTCAGCCATAATGCAAACTTCTTAATATGCAGCTGAGAGACTTCAGCAACATCCATGAGCAGACAGAATAGTTCACTAACAGTTTATTAATTCATGCACGCAAAATGACACCTCTCTATATGGATGCTCCTGAACCCACACGTGTGGCAGACCGTTGCATGGCTGTGTAACAAAAACTTCCAAACTCAGAGGCACACTTACAATTCCAGAGGCGCAAGTATTAGAAACACATTTGAGCCTTAAGACTCAAGAAAGCGGCGCTGAGGAGAGAAGGGGGACTCAGACAAGGCTGCGGAGCGAAGGAAAGAGCCGAGACAGGCGCGGGAAACAAAGCCAGCCGCCCTCGCCGCAGCGCGGAGCCGAGGCCGAGGGACCAGCAAACACGGGCCTACTACCGTTTTCTCAGGAATGGCAGATGCGGCGGAGAGGGGGCGAGGGAGAAGGAGGCAGGCAGGCAGGGAAGGAGGGAAAGGGAGAGAGGCGCCTCCTTGCCCACAGACTGGAGGAGGGCGTCAGTCCTGCCAGGTCTCGCAGATGGGCCGGGCCCAGCCAAAACAAAAAACTCGCCCCAAGTTGCCCGAGGAGAAAGCCCAGGAAGGAGGCAGGCCAGGGCCAGCCGGGGAGGGACAGAGGAAGGCAGGCAGGCAGGCAGGCAAGAGACTGGAGCGCCTGAGGGCAGGCAGCGGGGATGGTGCGGAGGGCTGCGAAGGCGTCGGGGGACTCCCTGGGGCGAGAAGGCTGAGGGAACGCCGGCGAGGGACTCACGCATGAGGAGACTGAAGGCCACGACGCCAAGGAGCCCCTGCAGGAAGATGCCGAAGCTGTCCATCAGGGCCCCGTTCTCGCAACCACGGTAGCCCGGCCCGGCCCCCGAGGAGGAGGAGGA